CTATTTTCGGAAACCCCCATTTCTTTTTGGGCAACCTTTTTTTGTGGCCCCCCACGCAGGCTGAAATGGTCGTTGGAGCTGAATCACGTCCTTAGAAGATGTTCGCAGGGAACTTAGCTCAAATTGAAGCCAGCATCCCCTAGAGTGCGACCCATGAGTCCGAGAGGGGAATGGCACCCTCAATTCCCAACCCAGGGCCAGCAATCCTCTCCACGCTTGCCCCGTCCTGTGTAGAGCTGATTGCAATGAAGGACGTGTAGCGGGTTGCCAACTGAAAGTCAACGCCTGCATGCTTCATGGTGCTGGCAGCTTATGGCTTAAACTGACTTTCGGCATTCATCAGCTCTCCAGCTCAACCTCGCCATCAACAGACAGTAAGAGTCAGAGGTCCACAGCCGGACCTAGATCAACGATGATCTGTTCTTGCCGTTGCCGCTCCTGCAGTGTTTCGACAATACAAGCCCTGGACAGCATCATCGTCACCCGTGCCTCTTCGGGTCCATGTATATATGGGGATTAATTCGTACTGTCTAGTTGTTTATTGATCGAAGTAAACCGAAACTAAACCTATAAAGTGCCCACTGACAATCGCTTCGCGCAAGCCGCCGGTGAGCTCGTGGTTCTGGCAACTACTATCTGCTAATGAAAAGTGGCATACATAGTGTCAAAGTGGCTCTCGGATCGACTGGAGCCGGATGGTATCAAATGCTGGGCTTGGGACTTGGGCAGGTGGGCAGGCCTTTGCAATCGCTGCGAGCGGTGCCTCCCCAACTTTCCGACAGTTGCGAGTCGTGTCGAGCAACTCAATAGTCTTCTTGTGGGATTCCGGAGGCTGGGATCCGTCCTGCGCCGACAATTGCGGCCGAAGGTACGTCGAGGCATCGTCGATCAGTGCCTGACAGTCTGTGTAATTGAACATGCAATCGTGCCGGGCAAGCAGACGGATGAAAGTGACAGCCTGCAGCTAGCTCTATCATAGTCACAGCAAGCTTGCGTTGCTGGACATAGGAGCAACCTGGCATGTCAGTTAACATAGAGACGCACGGCTTGCTGTGGCACTGGAATTACATCGGTTAGGGTGCCAACAGTTGTTCGGAGGCCCTTGCAGAAGTGCAAAGAACGACTCGGAACTTTCAAAACTTGCTTCTCCGGCTCCGAGGTTCTGCAAGATTTTACGGATAAAGCCGCAGGGGTCAGGCTGACAGAGCGGCCATCCGAGCATCGAGTCGGGCGTCGAACTTACTCATACTGGACGTAGATGGCCAAATGGATATATCTGCCGACCCTGCTTCCAACCATTCCACAGCAACACAGTCCGATTCGCGAAGCTGAGGGGCCTTGCCAACGATCTTTCGCAACTGCCCGCGCGGAGGGAGACGCACAGCAGGCAGGCTGAGGCTGCCTTCGCAACCGCGGGGGCGCATTTTTTTTCGGATTCTACGAAGCCTCTCACCCACACTGTGTTTCGGAATGGGACATGGGTTTACAATCCTTACAGGTGCTAGTTGTGGCTTCCCTGATCCAGACAAGCAGTTAAGCCACTTAAGCTGTCAACTGTGGTATGTGTTCTCGTGGGACTCTTTACAATCCTGGGCTATTGATTGCTCGGAGGCAGAGACCTTCGCCAAGTGTGTGGAGGGGCTGTACGAGAGTTGCCGGCCACTGAACTTCGATCGAAATTGTCCTGAGTGCCGTGAGGTCACTTGCCGCGGCTCCACTTTATAACTGTGCAACTGGAAGAAAGCATGCCTGACATATAATTGCAGTGATTCCGTCGCGCAAAGGCCTCATACTGCAATCCACCCAGAAGATCATTGTCTCAATAACCGAAAGCCCGCTGCTTGCCCCGATTCTCCAAGCCTTGCTGCCCGTCGCCCCTGACGAAGTGAAGCTGAAAGTCGCTACCTGATAGGGCATCACGTGCTTACAAACGCACGTGAAGCTATCTTCCTTTAAGCTTCTTTCCTGTTGCTGACCCTGTCTGCTTTTGTAGACCTTCTATCAGAGCGCATGCTTGCGGTTGGAATCCTGTCTCATGTAATCTGATCAATTCCCCCTTTTATTGAATCCCACCCTATTAATTAAAAAGCATGTTGGGGCGAATCCTGCCGAAATCATCCCTGCCCTTGAAAACCTCGGATGGTTTCGAGGCTCCAAATACGGTACCCTTAAAGCACAGTAAGAGCAAGGGCAAGAGCAGGAGTGAGAGCAAGAGCAAAGCGGGAGCATCAGCAAGAGCAGCAGCAAGAGCAAAGCAAAAGCAAGAGCGGGAGTAAGAGCAAGTGCAGGCGCAATAGCCGGAGCAACAGCAACAGCAGGAGCAGGCGCAGGAGATCCCTCAAAGGTGGCAGTAGAGACAAAAATAATAACAAAAACCCACTTTTCGAGTTTTTGTTGGGGGGGCCCTCCGTTTAGTAGTTGGGGATGGGATTACACCCCGACCCCTGCAGCCTTACGAGCAAACGCAATGTCTTTAAGGTCCTCCTGTCCGGACTGACGTCTCTGCATCAGCACCCACTCTCCGAAACCCGCGTCAATGCAAACAAAACATCCCGACTGCGGCAAGGATGCAGGAAATATCGCTGAGCCCCTGCACAATGGTTGCGGCCACGACAACTCTGTCCTTGGCATCTGCTCGACCAGAGCAAAAAAACAAAAAGTTGAGCTGGTCGGTGGCAACAGACTACAGTAATCATCGAGGGACATGTCTGTCAATTTGAAGCATTTGAAGCACCAAAGACCAATCCTTTCACTTCCTGGCAAGCTGAGCACTGGTGCGTTCGCGGAGCATCTGCGGCCTTCAGTAAACAACTAAACCCTAAACCCTAAATCCTAAACTATAAATCCTAAACCCTAAACCCGAAGCCCTAAGCCCTAAACAGGTATCCAAGTCTCACCACGGCAGCAAATGCCCTGTGGGTGGCCGATGCCTGGCTTCATGCCCGAACCCAGAGAGCCCAACGCCCCCTTCATTCAGGAATTTTACCTTTACCTTAAATCACAATATTATGGGCCCTGTGATTTAAGGGTATATTTCCTGAATTAAGGTGTATTGGGCTCTTTGGGGATGCTTCCATGCCCTTTTTTCTGGCATGCTTCTGAGCTATAGAGAACCGATTCCCCTTCGGTGACTTGCCAGAAATCCGATCCGACGATAGGATATGCACACTCCATGATTTGCTTCCGACTTTTTGCAGGACATGTCATCCGGGTGAAGGCTCGTGTTACCTAGTAGGCGCCTCCTAGCGACAGCTTGCAGCCTACATGGGCCAATCGATGCACAAGACCCCGTCGATTTCGACTACATGGGGCTCGACCTCTGATGGTGTTGAACAGATGGTATAGCATCACAGCTACTTCCAGGGACTATATATCTTCTTCTGCACTCGGCTCTGCGTAAGTAGGTCTCAAGGTCTGAATCTTCCCAAACGTTGTTTCCTGTGGCATTAACTGGGTGTTGGACTCTGAGGGCTTATCTGCAAGGCAATGGGAGACAAGATCGGACCCATGGCAGCAAGTACCCAAGTAAGACAGCCCCAAACCCCCCTTTAACCTAAACCCCTAAACCCCTAAACTCTTAAACCCCTAAACCCCTAAAACCCCTAAACCCCTAAACCCCTAAAACCCCTAAAACCACCCTAAAACCCGAAGATCAAAAGCACCTTGGCCTCGTCGCTCTGAAAGAGCAGCCGGAGACAGAGCTCCGAAGCGAAGGCCAGGGAACGAGACCTTTCGAACTTCCCTTTTCTTGCTGCCTTAGGGGTTTAGGATTTAGGGTTTAGGGGTTTAGGGCCTTTAGGGTTTAGGAGTTTAGGATTTAGGGGTTTAGGGTTTTGGGGTTTAGGGTTTGAGGGTTTAGGGGTATAGGGTTGGGAATCTAGGGTTTAGGGTCAGGGGATCTTCCGCTTCGGAGTTTACTGTCTGGGCGTGATTCGGACAAGTCATTCGATATCTATCTGTTTAGCTATCTATCTATCTATCTATCTATCTATCTATCTATCTATCTATCTATCTATCTATCTATATATACACACGCATATATATATATATACATACTCAGTATGTGTATGACCTGTAGTATAGATATGCTTTCCAGCACAAGCTCATGACGACGGCATACTCCGGGCTCAGTGTTGGTCGTGGTGCTTGGTGATTTTCAGAAGCCAAGTGAGGCCCCTCAGGATCAGCTACAGCGCAACCACCGCGCAATCTACCGCGCAAGCACCCTAAGTAGTCCTTGACGACTCTACCTAACCGGCTTCATGACCCGTATCTTGGGACATCTCCGTTAACCAACATACATACATAGATACATACATACATCCATCCATCCATGCATGCATACATGCCTACAAAACAAAACAAAACATAACATAACATAACATAACATAACATACATAACATACATAACATACATAACATACATACATAACAAACAATGACACATTGATCCGAAGCGCGCGAATTAAGCTTCAGGGGAGCTTGCCCCTGAACCTTCGACACAAAACCCAAAGCCCGGTCAGGGTGCCTGCGTCAAGCGAGGAGCCATCGGTTTCCTTGCGGGTGAAGGTTTTGGTAAAGCAAGTTTAAGCGCGATTGCTTGTCGGTTCCGTAGGTCTTTGGCGATCGGTGTCGTACAAATTATAAATACCTCGATGAAGAACCGTCACCACAAACTTGTCCATCCCAGTTTGCCTAGGTTTAAGATGCAATCTGGCGTCTCGAATGTTTCGACAGACTCTGTGCCTTTGACCCTTGAAGCCAAGCGGCATCGCCCGGCTCAGCTGTCGCACCACGATCCTGAGCGAAGGAAACAACAAGCTCTGTCAGAAATGTCTGTGCGCAACTAGCTCGAAGCTTCCCCAAACTTGAACCCGGCGCCGAAAACCCGCAGCCCGTCTCGAACAAAGCATCTGAACACAAAACCTGGACATGGGGCGCATCGACTGCTTCCGACCCTGCGGCAAACTCTGCCGACCCGCCAGAAGCTTCTGCCAATCCTGTTTGGGTCCGTCGTGGCGGCATTTGGGTAAGTGGGTAATAAGTAGACTTATAAGTACCCTAATTAAAAGGGGTTCTAATTGGGGTTTATGAGACTTTTAAGTCTATAAAATAACTACTTACTAGTGTGTCGGCTTTGGATCTCCGGTTAGAAGGTGTCACACGTAGACTTGACATGGAGTGGGATCTGTTGGTCGGTTGTCCCTACACTCTACACGCCATATCACACCACTGATGTCTCCATAATGCAGTTTATGCAGATTTGGGTTCTTGGTATGCAGACCACGAGAACAAATCGGAACTTTAGAGGCTTGTCTGGCTTTGCACCCACACCTTTCAGTATGCGTACATCTCGCTCCACAAAGACTGCTCACTTGTGATGCTAAGCTCAGGGCGCTACTTCTAGGACATGTTTCGGAGACAAGGCATGACTACAGGTTGTTTTCAATTAGGGACTGTGCTGTATGCTGATTCAGGGCCTCCATGTGGAGCGCGACCCTTGAACAATATCACAGGCAGGGCCGTGCAATGCAGCAACTTTTTGCGTCTTATGCCGACAGACCGAGAAAGTGCTGGAGTCTACCTCCGAGGGGGGTTGCTGCAACAGACATCGTGCGGCAAACCTGATTTGCTTCTTTGGGTCCAAACGGGTTCTCTCAGCTAAACTCTGCCAACACTCGAGACGGCTCTCCCCAAAAAAATACATATGAAAACATTGCCATGATCAGCACTGCTTCGTAATCCTCCTCCTCTTTCACTGTGGCTATCGGTGGGCTCGAGAGTTTCGTCCCCGAGTCCAGGTGTGGGCGAAGCAAACGACCGATGCGGAGTGCAAGATCGTGACGCAAGGCTGATACCGACGTCAAAGACGAAGTAGCATGGGTACTGCTTTCCTGAAGATGTTGCTTCTTGTGGCGGCGCATGACGCATAGCATGTCTTCATCGTGTTAACCGCCTACTCCGCACCCGGTACCGCCCACAGGCGGAGAGAAACCCATCCTAAACGCCCAAAACCCTAACCCCCAGGTACCTACTATATAGGGTACTAGAGCCCCTAGGGCCCTATATAGTAGGTACCTGGGGGGGTTAGGAAACTCAAACTCTCAAACCCAAACCTGGAAGTCTGAGCCCTGGTCATGTCAAGTCTCGCGATCCTGTCGAGAGGATATCTGCGAGGACGTGTCGTCACGCAGCAAGCCAACATAGTTGGTGTCGGACCTTTCGGGTCCAGGTACAATATTATATTATATTATAGTATACTATATTATATGCCTGTTGTGGGCAGTATAGGAGATCTGTACTGTATGTGTGTGTGTGCGCAGTTTCACACCGACAGAGATGGAGACATATAGAAGGAGCGGTTTAGTTTTTAGGGTTTAGGGGGTTGGGTTTAGGGTTTATAAGGGTTTAGGGGAGAGTGCGAGAGAGCGATATGGTAATTACATCTCGCATGAAAATGCTACCTGTCTACCTACCAGAAAACCTACCCTACGAGCGTCGGGTTTGTTTCACATCAATTGGCGGGAATACACGACACCCGTTTTGTTGCACATCTGTGGCGAGACTTCGCATCCCTTATCCTATACGTGAAGACAGCCGCGCGGGCGCCGTTTGTAGTCTCCAAGTCGGGTGAGCTCCATTTTCCGGATGTGTCGCGGACAGTGGGCTTTCAATCACTCTTCATTGCCACCTAGAAAACATTTTGGCACCGAGTTCTCCAACTAAATGCTGCTGTTTCTTGTCGGTGAATGAATCGAAACCCTGGCTACCGATAAGTTCTCGAGATCCATTTGCCGAACTTTGATCTTCGAGGTACAACCGGGGTGCCCCTCTCGAGCACTGATCTTCGGAGCTAAATTTATCATTCAAAACCGTCTTGTGGGCTACAGTATCCACCCGAGCTCGTGCGGGGCTGCACCCGCGATTGGGGGGCTCTACCGCGCGTGCAATATTAACTTAAGGATGCTTTAGCTTGCAAGCCGCAGGTGGGTGCGGGTGTACGTCTCCAACGCCAAACAAGCTGACCGAGACGAGATGTTGCCTGACAATAGGTCAATAAGGGCCTTTAAACAAAAGTGTGTTCACATAGTCATATGTATATTATGTATTCAATAACTATAGTTAGATAATTATGCAGCATAAAGTAGTGCATGATGCGACGCAGCGCCGTGGTGTCCGTCTGTCTGTCTGTCTGTCTGTCTGTCTGTGTCTGTGTCTGTTTCTGTCTGTCTGTCTGTCTGTCTGTATCTGTATTAACTGTACCTGCATGTGTCAGTCTGTATCTGTCTGCAGGTCTGTGCGTCTCTCTCTGTCCTTGTCTATGTGTCCGTCTGTCTGTCTGCGTCTGTCTCTGTCTGAGTGGCTGTATATAACTGTATGTAGGTAGGTAGGTATTTACGTATGTCTGTACGTACGTGCGCGGGCATGTTTGCATGCATGCATGGATGGATGCACATGGGATGGAAGTTAGAATATACCTTGCCTATTTAGGCTAATAATGCCACCGCCAACCCATTAGATGATCATTCCTAGGGTCCCCCCTACATTTCACTGATATATCACTACTACTTCCCCCATTAGATGATTATTCCTAGGTTCCCCCCTACATTTCACCGATATATCACTACTACTTCCCCATTATCAATACAATTCTAGAAATAACCATAACCCCATCTATTATCTCTAAGGTGGCATTATTACTCAAAAGGGGCAAG